TGAAGCAGGGAATGGAACAGGAATGGAACAGGAATGGAGGCAGGAGAGGAGCAGGGAATGGAGCGGGAATGGAGGCGGGAGCGGAGCAGGGAATGAAGCAGGGAATGGAGCAGGAATGGAGCAGGGAGTGGAGCAGGGAATGGAACAGGAATGGAACAGGAATGGAACAGGAATGGAGGCAGGAGAGGAGCAGGGACCCCCTGACCCCCCGGCCCCCGCAGGTCCCCCATCAGCAGCCTGCCGACCCTGTTCGACCAGACCGTGTCGTGCAGCAGCAGCGGGCAGCTGGACAATGTCCCGCAGGCCACCCCCAACATCGAGCAGCTCCTGGAGAAGCAGGGGAACGGCGAGGCCGGCGTCAACAGTGAGTGCCGGCCCGGGGGCGGCGGGGCAGCTCCCTGGGAGCCGGGATTTTGGGATTCGGAGCCGGGATTTTGGGATTCGGAGCCGGGCGGGAGGAGCTGGGGCTGCGCTGTGGGGCCGGTCCCTCCCGGCCCAGGCTCTGACTGCGGTTCCTGCCATCCCCTTTCCTCTTCCCCCTCGTTTTCCCCCTTCCCCTCGGTCCCGCCGCAGTTGTGGAGATGCTGAAGGCGCTGCACTCGCTGCAGAAGGAGAACCAGCGGCTGCAGGAGCAGATCATGACGCTGACGGCCAAGAAGGAGCGGCTGCAGCTGCTCAATGTCCAGCTGTCCGTGCCCTTCCCCGTGGTCACCAGCAGCAACGGCGCGGGCAGCCAGGCCCAGTACATCCTGCCCGCCAACGGTGAGGGCACCGCGGGCACCCGGGGACGTGGCCCTGTGGTGTGACCCCGAGGGTCACAGCGGGGAGGGATCCGTCCCTCGGCCACCTCAGGGTCCGGCCCTGACTCCCTCTCCCCTCGCAGTGTGCGCCGGTGACTCCCTGAGCATCAGCAAGAGCCCCCCGTGCAAGAACAGCTTCGGCATCGAGAACTCGCTCTCCACGTCCTCCGAGGTACTGCGGCCTCTGCGGCCACCGGCGGCCGGGCAGGGCCTCGGGCAGGGGCAGCGCCAGGGCTCGGTAGCCAGCTCGGAACTCCCGCTAGCCCAGGCTCAGAGATCAGGTTCTCCCCGCAGCGCCCGAGGGCTGCCTAGAGTAGCTGAGAGCGGGAGCGTGAGGTGAGAGCGCTGCCAGGTGATCCTGGAGATCCAGCAGGGATCCGCCTGACTTTCTGGGACCTCCCTGTGACTTCTGGCACCCCCCGCTCTGAGTTCCGGGCCCCCCTCGCACTCGAGCCAGCCGCACCCAGAGCCCCTCCCTTCCCACCCCCGGCTCCCCAGCCGCCCCAGCCCGATGCTCTGTGTCCGTTTCTCCCCCAGGACCCTCACTCGGGCTGTCCCAGCAGGAGCAGCTCCTCCCTGTCCTTCCACAGCACGCCCCCGCCCCTGCCCATGCTGCAGCCCAGCCCCGCCTCGCTGCCCCTGCCCGGGGCGCAGCAGGTGAACGGCCTGGCCAGGCTGGCAGGCGGGGGGCTGGCCGGAGGCTCCGGGGCCGGCCACAGCCTCTCCGCGGTGCCCATGGTGGACGGCCTGCTGGGCAGCCTGGCCGGAGCCCAGCAGATGCCCCTCAACGGGATCCTGGGGAGCCTGAACGGAGCGCAGCCCGCCCCTCCTCCGAGCGCGCTGAGCCAGGCCAGCGGGCCCCCGGCCCTGCAGCTCTCCACCAGCCTGAGCAGGTGAGGATGGGCGGCCCTGCCCTCTCCAGCCGCAGTTTAGCTCCGGGAAGGGAGGGAAGGGCCGGCCCCGAGCGTGCGGGAGCGGTGGCGGCCGCGCTGACCGGCGCTGCGCCGCTCCCTTCCCGCAGCGTCGCCAGCCTGAGTCCCCTGACGGAGCAGCAGCGGCACGTCCTGCAGCAGCACGAGCAGCAGCTGCAGCAGCTCCAGCAGCTCCTGACTTCCCAGCCGCTTAACCCGGTAAGGGACGGGCTGCTCGCACCGGGAGAAGCCGGGAGCCGAGAGGGGAAAATGGGAGTTTTTCCCCCCCCCTCTCCCCGAATTCTCTTTGCGCCTTATCCCGGCTGAGCGCAGCGCAGGAAATTCAGAGCCGGTCTGGAAGTTTGGGATGGGGAGCGGAACGAGGAGTGAAGCTCCAGGCGGCGCCCGGGGAGGGGAGTTGGGATTTGAAATCTTTTTGGAGCAAAGGAAAGAAGTTAAATCTGAGTTTCCTGAGGGGGTGAGGAGGTGGGAGCTCCGTGGAATCCGGGAGAGCCGCTCGCTCCTGGAGTCATCCCGGGATGCAAATCCTGCTGGATCCTGGGATACAAATCCTGCTGGATCCCGGGATGCAAATCCTGCTGGATCTTGGGATACAAATCCTGCTGGATCCCGGGATGCAAATCCTGCTGGATCCTGGGATACAAATCCTGCTGGATCCCGGGATGCAAATCCTGCTGGATCCCGGGATGCAAATGCTGACGGATCCCTCTGCCAGCCATCTCAGGATGCAAATTCTTCCAGATCTGGGGATGTAAATCCCGCCGGATCCCAGGATGTAAATCCTGCTGGATCCTAGGATGCAAATCCTGCCGTATCCTGGGATACCAATCCCTCCGGATCCCGGGATACCAATCCCTCCGGATCCCGGGATACCAATCCCTCCGGATTCAGGGATACCAATCCCTCCGGATCCCGGGATACCAATCCCTCCGGATTCAGGGATACCAATCCCTCCGGATCCCAGGATACCAATCCCTCCGGATCC